GTGGTGGTGGTGGGGGGCGGCGGCGGCAGCGGCGGCGATGGTGGTGGTGGTGGTGGTGGTGGTTGTCACAGTGACAGTGGTGGAGGACCGCAGGCCGTCGTCATTGCTGTTTGTGGGGTCGTCGTCGTCGTCATGCTCTTGAGACCTGTTTTGAAGCTCGAGAAGACCACCCCCCTCCCAAACAAAAGGTCTTTAGACTTCTCAGTCAATATCAGAGACTTGTCGTTCACCGTGTCGTTCGGCGCGTTCATGCTGCGCTAAAGCTTCTCAGTTGAATTGCGGACTCCAAGGCCAAAGGCATGTACACTTCAATTTGGAGAGCTTGGTCCGGCTATGTGGTAAAGGACGGGCGCTCCCTTGTGCAGTGCTGCTATCGTCGTATTTAAGGTTGCTTTGCTATGGTTCAGCTTCCAGGTTCATGTCTCTGCCGTTTATCCAGCGGTATGCCAAGATGGCAACAGGCGGATTGGCAGACAGATCAAGTCGACAGCAAGATCGGTTTCTCAGCAGGGGGCCGTCTGCCTGGTGCGTGAAGCTCCAGACTACGCCAACAAGCCTGATGTACGTTTTATTTGCAAGCCCCATGTCTGCATTTGCGAAGGAGAAAACTCGTCTGCGAAATGCTGCCAACATCAAAAAGGCTTGGATCGGTTATTGTCGTAGTTCTGGCGGCAGTGGCAGTAGATCTATTCCCATGAAGTACAGTGGTTCGCATCGAGTGATCAGGTTTCCGGTCGTTCATGTGTTTGTGAGAAAGTTTTCGTCAGGACGTCACAAGCGCAGGTTGGTGCACTAATTCTTGTCTGTGGGAATGATTGCCTGAAGGCGATAGAGATATTGGCACGACCGATACTTGACAGTTCAGCAATTAGTTGGCCTGCAGGCTTGCCTCCAGTGGTGCGAGGGAAAGACGCTGGGCATCATGGAGTAACGTTTGCATGTGTGGTAGTGGCCTGTGCGGCTTGTCCATGATCAAGACTCACAGTTTAGGCTTCTCGGAAATGGGGCAATGCGAAACTTCCAAGGAACAAGGGGCTGAAGCACAGCGTCTTCTCCTCCTGGCAGCAAGAGCCCGGCGCTTGGTGGAAGCTCCTCGCACTCTCTGGCAAGCATAGCCACGATGAAGAGCACAAAGTGTCGCTTCTGCGATTCGAACTGTTTCGGCATTCCGGCTGGTGCCACAGCCAGGTACAGCCTGGCTCATCTTAAGCGCCTGCGGGACCAGGACGGCTCCCACTTTGGTGTTGAGATATGTGCTCGTCTGCAGGCATCGTTGGAAGGTCGGACCCGTGTCTTGCTAGCTTGCGTGGACCGGAAACATGGAACAACTTGGAGGAGCTTTGCATGGGGTGTAGCTCTGCCATTGCACTGCAATTAAGCTCGGAAGCGGCGGGCGTTTGCCGGCAAGTTCTGCAACCGCCAGGACTTGGACGAGGTGGGATGCATCAGAGGGATTTCTTCAGAACCCATCACCTTTTTCGGTAGATGCTTCGAAGATCACCTGAAGCAGGCAGTAACAAGTCCGTCCCTCATCTCCCTTGCGAGCTGTAACTTCCATCATAAGGATCAGATCTGGTGTAGGAGGGCCGCTGTCCTCACGTCTTGGGAGAAGTACTGCTCTCCGACCTGTATTTGCCTCGGAACGGGTCGAAAGCATCCAGGTCTTGGGAATCTGAGACTCATTTCGCCGCCTGTCAGCGCTGTTTCTGGCTCAGAAAGACGCAGAACCTCTGAGTCCACCTGGGCTTTGACTGGTGGCGATGCCGCCACCGCAGGCAGCTCTGCAGAATCGATGTCGTTTGGCCTTCAGCTGCTGAGTTGTGGTTCCCCTGGAAATTGTATGGGTGGAGCTGGGATGTAAAGCTTGAATCAGCATGCAACAACCATCGCACCTCGTGCAGCGCACAGTACGCTTGTACCGCGCAAGAGCCACGAATCTAGGACGTCGGAGTGCAATGCTGTGCTTAGTCATATTCTGCAACATCTGCTTCCGGCCTCGTGCATGGTACATGCCACTATGCCTCAATGTGCAACGATTCACGTTCCCCCTGTCTTGGATTTGATGCCGCTCATCGAGGAACAGCAGGTGGTCACAAAGGAGGTTATCGAGGAAGCCGCTCGGGAGCCGCATGGCTGAAGCTTCGAGAGCCTGCTGCTGTCGCAACGACTGTCGCATGAGTTGCATGTAACTTCCATCCTTCGTCGCCACGTGAAGTTTTCAGAAGCATTACCGACGGCCACTAACTAAGGGTGGAGAAATGCCTCGGGGAGGCGCACATTTTCGATTTGACATTCCTGGAAATTCCATCATGATGTCACGTTCAGAGTGAATCAAATAGAGGCTCTAGGTGCCTGAGTACATCCTGATCCAGCCACCAGCAGTGCTGGCAGTGGGCATGCTTCATGCTTCAGCATACAGTTGAACCCTGTTTCCCTTGTGTTGCTAGCAGGTGGAGGAGTCTTCGAAGCAGGCGAAAGAGGCAGCAAAACAAGCCGTCCAGGCATCGCCATAAAGTTCCACCGCTAGTGCTGCGAACGGAGGTAAGCAGCGTTACTTTCCGTCAGGTAGCAGAAAAGTGCAGACAAATCGAAGAGGACCTGTCCGGGTCTGGGCTAATGTACCTTGATTCATGGACCAAGTTTTGCGCTGGGTATGTTCCCAGTCATCGATCCAACTGGAGTTGTGTTCTTGGTTGCTGGCTGGGGCTGGGAGAGGTTGCCACTCTTGGTTGCATGCGTCCTTTTCGTGCACGCATGTTGGTGGTCATCAAGCGCAGGCGTGTTTGAGCTCTGCAAATTGGCCTGTTGTCAAAGTAGCTCAGTAATGCTCTCAAAATGCCAGTGCCACAAGTTGGCAACAAGCACTGCTGCCAGGAAACAAAGAAGCTGATCGAGCCACTCGGCTTTGTTCCTGTGCACGTACTCTGCTAGTCGCAGCATGTAGGCAAACACTCAGCTGCTTGACCCCAGGGGCTTCCACAACAATGACTGAGAGGAGAGCTCTCTGCATCAGCCCTGGCAAGGACTCGGGCTCTTACTGCACGTGTTTGCCAAAGCATGGCTCGGCTTGCATCTGTCATCTCCAACACTTCAGCGAAAGTGCACCAAAGCTTTGGCAGCTTTGGGACCCGGCTTGCAAAGAGCAAAGCCTTTGCCGTTGCAGAAACCTCTACTAAGACTGCAACTTCCAAGAAGTGCACAGAAATGTGAGATCGGATCCTGGAAAGGGTCGGTGGGAAAGCCTTACCGGTATCAGCGTCATCGTCATCAAATGTGAAAAAAGCGGAAAGCAGCTAAGCTAGCTGCAGTGGGTAGAGGCAGATGCTTGGAACGAGAAGGGGTGCAAGGAACCCATCCCTCGTCAGGCTACAGCCCGTAGCGCGTTTCACCCTGGGAGCATTGAAGACAGTCTCGAAATTCGCAGCTCTAACAAGCATGCGGATGCAGAAACAAACTACGGACCTGGAGCCCCGTATTGCAGAAGCAAAATGGTGCACTGACCAGCTCCATCCAGCTCCACTCGCTCAGATGGTCCGCATCTTGTTTGGTGCGACTCTGTTCGCAGGCCCAAGCAGAATTTGACGCCGCCATGAAAGCGCGCCGAAGTCTCGGCACGTTAGCAACGGCTCATGTGAGCATATGTGAGCAGAAGAATCCGCTACGCACTGCGTGTCCTCCAAGCCTTCCATGTCAGAGCTCTGATAACGTTGGCATCCTCTCGGGCCTCTCTTGAGACTCGGGTCTCAAGCAGAAGGCTCCGTCGCCGGCCAAGGCCTGGACGAGCTTGAGCATCATCGGCAAGGAGCGAAGAAGGCGGGAGATCCAAGAGCCCTCACGTCCCGGCACGAGGAAACTCAAGGCGGAAGCTACGGCCCTACCTGGAAGAACTAGTCTTCAGAGCCTTCGAGCCACGACCTTTCACCCTCTGAAGGGTGATCGTCTAGGCCTTGTTACCTTGCTATATGAAAGTGTTAGCCAAGAGGTGGACGGCACAACTGTCAGCATTCCGCCTTGTCGGCAGAGCGGTTTAGGCACAAAGCTGCAAGGATCATGTAGATGCGGGTATAGCCATGATCATCCTGATCATGCACCCCTTGCAGAGTGCTCGGGGTCGGTTCTGAGATGAGGCTCTGGAGAAGGCTGTTGCGAAGTGGAAGGACGGTGAACAAAAGGGGACCCTTGGCCGTAGCATTAAAGCAATCTGACAGAGATGCGTGCCATTTCACATGCTGATGCATGGAGCTATATAACAATCGTCGTGATAAAAATTAGTAGTAAGATGTAGTAAGGATGTGGTAAGAATGATACTGGTACTGGTAGCGAGCGTAGTAGTAGTAGTAGTAGTAGTAGTAGTAGTAGTAGTAGTAGTAGTAGTGGTAGTAGTAGTAGTATAGTAGTAGTAGTAGTAGTAGTAGTAGTAGTAGTAATAGAAATAGAAATAGAAATAGAAATAGAAATAGAAATAGAAATAGAAATAGAAATAGAAATAGAAATAGAAATAGAAA